TTATTGGGGCATAAGCTTGCGTGATTTAAACCCTCACTTCTCTATGCATCCGAAGAAGTGAGGTTTTTACTCACGAAAGCTTATGCCCAAATAAATCTGTTAGTCTTTAAGGTGCCACCAGACTCCTTGTTGTTTTTGTAGATACAGACTAACACGGCTACCCCCTGATATTTGCTACCTCACTGTTTACCCCTTTTTGCAGACTATTTATGAATATGCTGAACAGGACTGATCCCAGACCAATACAAAGCCCTCAGGGGACACCTCTATTTTCTTCTCTCCATTCTGAAAATGGACTATTTATTCCAACCCTTTGTTTCCTTATCTTTTAACTTGTGTGCCTGGGAATGCTTTCAGGATCATCTAAGGATCGTTAATTTAATTTAATGACAAGCCTTTTGTCATCTTAATCACCCTGCATCTGTTTATAAACAAACTCCCTGCCCCAAGGGCAATGTTAACAGCACAGACTTTTACACACTCAAGCTCTGATTCCTCCGTGCTTAGGAGCTACTATTTTTTTCTTTGGGTACTTGAGCCCTGGAGTACCCACAGGGTCAGCACCTATGCTACAGTGTATGAATTTGCCTTAATCGTAATAGGAAATGTATTAATTATATCTCCATTCAGACCCTCCAAGTTCTGATATTTGTGGCACAAAACATATATTTCACAGATCGTAGTTTCACTTACCAGTAGCATTGCAATTTGCATTTGTAGGATTTGGAACATAAATAGGATCTGTAGGATCTGGAAAATAAATGGATAAGAAATTGAGCAAAATGTAAATGAAGTGCATTGTTTTACACTAATGTTTTACTGTTGATGATGGATTTGTTTTGTCTGGAGAAGAGAAGACAGGGGGGACATGGTAACAGTTTTCAAATACTTAAAGCGTTGTTACAAGAAGGAGGGAGAAAAATTGTTATCCTTAACCTCTGAGGATAGGACAGGAAGCAATGGTCTTAAATTGCAGCAAGGGTGGTTTAGGTTGGACATTAGGAAAATCTTCCTGCTTGTGAGAGTAGTTAAGCACTGGAATAAAATGCTCAGGGAGGTTGTGGAATCTCCATAACTGGAGATTTGTCAGAGCAGGTTAGACAAACACCTGTCAGGAATGATCTACTTACTGCTTAGTCTGGCCATGAGTGGCGGGGATTGGATGACCTCTCGAGGTCCCTTCGAATCCTTTGACTCTATAATTCTATGATTTATCTCTTTGCATGTCAATTTTAACAGGCAGTCCCTTTTTTTCAGATACTAAAATGACAAAGTATCTCATATGTGACAAGGTCAGATTTGGAAGAGATGGAATGATAGATCTCAGCAGCCTGAGAACAGGAAGAAAAAAAAAAAGCTTTTCTCTATCAGTAAGGACCCTGTCTCCCTCTTCCAAGGCTGTCCTGTGCCCTTAGAGGGCATTTCTCTCCTCCTCCTCCCAAAGACATGGGATGAGGCATGGACCCTGTGGTACTTCATAGTACAGAATACGTGCTCCCAATCAAAGAGAAGGCACACCCACTCCTTCCTCTGCTTCTGCTGAGGGAGGTGCTGGTATTTGTCATCTCCACCATAGTCCAGTGCCTGCCATTGTTCCTCCTCCAGCAAATCATAGAATCATATAATATTAGGGTTGGAAGAGACCTTAGGAGGTCATCTAGTCCAATCCCCTGCTTAAAGCAGGACCAACACCCATTAAATCATTCCAGCCAGGGTTTTGTCAAGCTGGGCCTTAAAAACCTCTAAGGAGGGAGATTCCACAACCTCCCTAGGTAACCCATTCCAGTGCTTCACCACCCTCCTAGTGAAATAGTATTTCGTGATATCCAACCTAGACCTCTCCCACTGCAACTTGAGACCACTGCTTCTTGTTCTGACCTCTGCCACCACTGAGAACACCCTAACTCCATCATATTTGGAACCCCTCTTCAGGTAGTTGAAGGCTGCTATCCAATCTCCCCTCACTCTTCTCTTCTGTAGACTAAATAACCCCAGTTAGAAGATTGGGCCGAAAAAAACC